CGAGCCCGTGCACGTCCGGGCAAGGGGCATGTCTGCTCGCCAAGCCCGTGCAAGTCCAGGCAAGGGGCACGTCTGCTCGCTGAGCCGATTCACATCCGGGCAAGGGGCACGTCTACTCGCCAAGCCTGTGCAAGTCCAGGCAAAGGGCATGTCTGCTTGCCGAGCCCGTGCACGTCCGGGCAAGGGGCACGTCTGTTTGCTGAGCCCATGCACATCCAGGCAAGGAGCACGGCTGTTCGCCGAGCCCGTGCACATCTGATAAAATGTAATGCATCAAAACTAACCAAGGATCAAACAGCGAGCTCAAAACGGCTGCATTCCTCTCCCCAACCCTGGCAGGGCCTAAAACTGAGCTGTAACAGGTACAGGAGGCTTGGAGCCAGAGGCCCCCCCATGCAATGGTTTGCCTGGAAGCTCCGCCTTCATGGGAACAGAAAGGCAACAAGTGTATGGGGTTGTCATGGCAGCAGTGTTCCGGAGCTGCTGGAAGCTGTGCCACTGGGGGCGGGGGGGCTCCCTCCATCCCCAGGGAGCAGAGAATGGCAGCAAAGGGCTTTACAGGTGCCCCCTTCGGCACTCAGACAGTCAGGTAAGAGTCACCCAGAAGAGGCTCCAGAGGGGACAGGCTCAGCCTGCAGCTGACTTGGCCCTCCAGAGTCAGTAGAGAACTGGGCTCAGCCCCTATCTGACTCTCAGCTTCTGGATCATCTGCACACATATTCTCCCCTGTCCCCCAAACAGCCCGGCACACAGATATCACACACACATTCCTGCAGTCAAGAGATCACACGCCCCTCGGCACACAGATCACACACACCTAGCCATGCAGCGATCACATACACACATGCATTCACAAGTTCACATGGTTATTACACACGGAGAGTCCATGCACACGTGTCCATGCACCCACGTGCAGGACTCTGTCAAGCTGTGATACTCTGAATGGGGGAGTTTCCAAGGAAACAGAAATGAGTTTTTACATGTCTCTGAAACACACAGCAGACTCCTTCACACACACACACACACACACACACACACACACACACACACACACAC